ATAGGAGATTTGCGCTCTTCGCTTGCTATTCCTTTTCAGACAAACTTTCCTTATTTATATACTGTGACTATACCAAGTGCCACATCCTCTTTGTCTTCATATCTTCGACTATCCTTCTTTATTACTGTCCCAGACTTTGCGTTTGAACTAAAAATTTCACAGAATATTTCCTGCTTTTGTGCCTTCTTAAACGGTGGAATAGCTTAAGCTAGTACTCAACAATATTTTTTCATGAAAGAATATCTATCAACGAACTCTTACCTATAGGCCATAATAAAAAGGATGATATCGTGAAAGCAATGGCAGCAGATCTGCCTAATGTGTATTAATAAGTTTTGCTTTTATTAATTTTCTGCAATATGGTGAAAAATGATTTATCATAAAACCATTTGCTTATGCTCTTGAGTCAAAGCGTTTGTACTGCACTTAAACTTACTAATAGTACTTATTTAAAACTTCAAAAAAATAAAGATCAAAATGCAATTCTTAATAGACTAATTTGTTTTTTTTTTACTTTTCAGTATTTCAAATCTTGGAATGTATGGTATTCGTGAATTTACCGCAATTATTAATATGCCTCAGGTGTCCATTCTAGCGGTTGGTGGTTCTCAGGACAGTGTTTACATGAGACCCGATTTGACCACCCTACATGAAGTCACTTTAACTCTCTCAACCGATTCCCGTTATGTCGACCAAATTGTTGCTGGCTACTTTCTTTCCTATGTTTCGCGATTACTTGGAGATTACCCTGAAGAACTTATCGATAAAGTAGATGCAAATACTTTCGATCCGTTCTCCCAAGAAATGCTTCTTGGTGCCGCTCAAGCAGCCAATTCAGCTTCTTAAAGACGTTTTATTATTTTTATGATGATGTAAACAATCGTTAAAAGCAAATATGAGTAACGCTACTTAGTATTTTGTTCATCTCACTATGATTATCAAAGGATATATATTGCTAGTCAAAATCAATTTAGCTCTATCACTAACTTTTGCATTTCTACTGTTTTCAAATAAATCCTTGAATGACGATTTTTCGCCCTTTAGTAGATATTCCGATTCTACTTTATTCTGAATAGAGGTAACTTAATTTGCGATTTTGGTCATCTTCAACTATTATACTTACGTATATTTATTTTTGTCTTCATTATTTGTTATCTTATTTATTAAGAATCAGATTAGGTGTAGAAAAGGTGAGGATGATCCAAAATAGTTGGTACTTTTATTGAAAGCTTGTTTGTATGCACTATGGCCTAAATTCTCCTTTTAAGACACAGATACTGCTTATTATCAACTTCTAGAGATACAGGATAGACAATAGTGTTGCCAAATAAAAATGATATAGTATCGAAGTGGTCCGACTACATCTTCGCAACTCGGTTGTGTTGTCAGGATGACCTAATTAGACGTAACCTGTCCGAAGTTCTCTGCTGCAGTGCCTATGATAATTCCCTGTGTTGGACCATAAGACTTAGTACACTTCCAGAAACAAGACTTGTCTCTAATGAATTATAGTTTTGTGCTGAGAATGGCAAGGATCACTGACGATACCTTAATATACCATCTTAAGATCTTTTTGGTTTATTGATATCAGAATCCAACTTATTTAAATGTGTAATATTCTTTCCACAATTTATCATGCATTGGTATTTAGCTAAGCTAAATAGTACTCTTAGTTGCCAGAACTAATTCTCCGTTTTATATGAAGTGTGAAAACGCACAATATTTGCATCCCCTTTTAAACGTTTCTATGAAATCATATTTTATATTTTATTTCGTTTTTAAAAGAAGGGCAAGGACTCACCTCTAACATTAAAGGATTAAAGGTATCAAGACCAAGATTGTGTGGCCTTTAGGATGCCCGTATTCTCCTTCTCTCGTCTACAGTTTGTTCAGCCTTGTTTTCGTAGCTTGATTCTATTGTCAGGAAGACCTAAGGGAGTCTGGAGTCCCTAGTATGCATGATGATTATTAGTCGGAGCGTGGACTTGGTGCATTCCCAGACGTCTCGCCGGCATCATCAGTGAGCCTTGACATTGCTTAATTCCACACCACAACTTGTCAGAGGCAAATAAAGTCAGTCCTCTGATTAATTGTCTGCAAAATAGTTGCGGTATCTTTCCTTCTGTCCTAGTGTGTTCA